TCTGGGCCACAGGTAGGTTCCTGCAACCAGGATTCAGGGTGCCTTTGTCTGGGATGCCTTATACTGGAGAGGGTGCAGTCTCCCACTGACCCACTGCCGTCAGAGCACTCCCCTGTAATGTGAGTAATAAGTGGCATGTCCACATAGGCTAGTCCAACCAGGTGTTTTTTTTTTTCAGAATATCACGAACACTTAAGCAGCTCCCTGATTTGGGGCTCCTATACTACAGATGCCTGTTTCAGATTCATTACTTGGGCCATTACTTATCTATACTGACAGAAGTGAGGTCATCCTCTAGGATAAAAACCAGGCTCAGGGTCTCAAGGCCCACCCAAATTTCACAAATGTCCACCCTCTTGTGCATATTACTTACAAAGCATATTGGCTATGCTTCTAGTCCAGAGTTTCCATTGCATCCAGTTAGAACTAACATCCCAGAACCAAGACCTTTGCCACAAGAAGCCAGAGGCTTTCCAGTCCTTTCAACAAACCTTCTAGAGAACCCTAGCATGAAGTCTTCTTAGTAATCATAAGTCTGTATATGTTTATGCTATGAGGAAAAAGGAACTGTTTGAGGTGTGAACGGAGTCGCAAAAACGAAGCATGGCCCACTGCTTACTGAGTCAATTCCTCCCTGACTCAGCTGCTCTTCTGATCAGCCCACCTTGGTCTTACTCACCTCTCTGACTATCACTGTTTCCCAACAGTCACAGCACTCCTGCAGACACAATCACATTCTGATGTTAACCTAACAAAAAATGTCACTTTGTACTGCTCCTCGAACAGAGAAGACTGGGCTTACACTAAACCCGGACTCTGTCTCAGCGCACAGGGGGTGCCGTGCCTGTCCTACTGCCACTGACCACTTTTCAAACCCAAGTTAACCTCAAAGAGTATTTGTTTTTCAAAATTATTTACCTCATCTTTTATGAAGATATACCCTGTTTTGTTTAGGAAAAAAGAAGTTGGTTTGGCATATGCAGTAACAGGAGAAAGTAGAAAATTCTTTGCTATCCATTCTTGCTTATGCACATGACTTAATTTATAACCTTTGGTGCTGTTTATGATTATGGACAATAAAGGAAACAATGAGAATTTATCACTTTACTAGGTATTAAAAATGTTTATTTTTCCATTCATTGATGATCTATAATATATTATACAATTCCCTTATAATAAAGCTGTTACAAATTGTGTTGCTTAGACAAGAAAATGTTGTTGCTCACACCAAAGTCAGAGAAAACTGCCATTCTCCCTTTCAGGGTCCAACTACTAGCCTGTGAAAACTTTTGTCATTTCTATTTTACTCTAAGATTAGGCTTCAGGTAGGATTAAACAGAATCAAACAAAGTAAATTTAGTGATTAATAGGGTGACTCTTTGAATGGGTCCAAGGATGATCTTGTTTTCATGGCCATGTAATAGAAAAGATAACAGCATGAATAATAGATAAATAATTAATGTGTGAGTGTGTGTTACTTTAAATTGGTCTATTTGTCACACCTGCCCCTTTTGTCAAGCCTGTGTCTTAGGAAGCCAGTAAAGACATAATGTTTCTATAGAAGAACACAAGGTACTGATTTTGGTAGTGCATGCTTTTTAAAAGAAAAATCATGCCCTGACAGGTGTGACTCAGTGGATTGAGCACTGGCCTGTGAACCAAAGGGTCACCAGTTCAATTCCCAGTCAGGGCACATGCCTGGGTTGCAGGCCAGGCCCCCCATGAGAGGCAAGCACACATTAATGTTTCTCTCTCTTTCTCCCACCCTTCCCCTCTCTAGAAATAAATAATCAAAATTTTTTAAAAAAGAAAAATTAAATGACTCTGCATTAGACTTTTAGAGTGGTTTCATCCTAAAGCACATGCCCCCTGTTCATGGAATGAGATGTAACATAGAAGAGAAATTTCTGAGTGGAAATAATACAGAAAGTAACCTTTTCAATGCATAGAGTAGATCAAAACACCAGGAGATAAAATATTATCTTAAATCTTAAACATGTATTAATAAAAACATACCTAATTTTTAAATTATAACAAAAAGCAGTGGTTATTCAAGCTATGTTTTTCATAAATCACATGATTCTAAACTACTTTGGCTAGTAAAGAACTGTGTATACTCCTTGGAAAAAATACTACACACGTATGAGTTAGTGTACAACTATGACAGTACAACTAGTACAGGCTAATAATATAAGAAAGAGCCTACCTAATTACAATAGAATAAACTTTGGAGTTTGAGTCCTAGGTGATGATATGCTAGGAAATTGGACAGGAAGATTGTGCAAGATATATAGATAATTCTAGGGCTTGTTGTCAGCTTATATGAAAGTGGTGCTAATAAAATACAACTTCTTTTTACAAATAAATATCCCCTCTTCCTTATGGGATCCAACTAGCTGCTACTTGCTTTGGTTCCCTGCTAGAGTCATGTGTCTCTGCCCTTAGGTAGTAGCAAAAAAGAGAGGAAGATCCCTATCCTTCACTTTCCCCACTTCTTTCACAAGACCCTTCTGATATAGGGTCCTCTTTTGCTCAACTGGTTCCTCAAAACAGTTTTCATCCCCATCCTTTCCCAAGAGCTGGAGCCCAAGCACTACCACACATTTGTGAATATGCCCAGGATTTGACCCGGGCCATTGAACTTGACACAGGAATAGTTGCTGCTAGCTTATTGAGATAATGCTGTCATATTCCTGAGGGTTCAATTCTATGTTTCCTCCCAAAGTATGGAAATCATACAAGGACCAGCCCAATTCCTCTTGGAGTTTAATACTATCATATTTTGAGAATAGAGGGAAAGATAAAATTTTTTTAAAAAAAGAAATACCCCAAATCTTGCATTATCATGATGGCATAGAATTTTTTAAAGATATCTAGAAATGCAACTATGATTTATAACAAAGACAGTGGAGAAAAAGTAATTTTTTTCAACAAATGGTGCTAGATGAATAGAATATCCATATAGGCAAAAAAAAAATAGAAGTCCCTATCAAAAACATACAAAAATCTAAATTCCAATGGAGTATATATTTAAACATAAAATATAAAACAATAATGTTTTCAGAAGAAAACATAGAAGAACATCTCTGTGTTCATCATTTTGGAGTAGGCAAATAATTCTTAAACAGGACACAAAAAGTGCTAACCGTGAAATCTAAAAACTGGACAAACTGGACTATATTAAAATTTTTACCTGATGTCAAAAATCATCATTATGAGAGTAAAAATCAAACTATAGAGTAGGATGTTATTCACTATAAACATATCTGTTAAAAGATTCATGTCCATAATGTATATATATTTAAAAATCTTAAACACTAATGAGGGAATACACATAACCCAATAGAAAAATAAACAAAAAACTTAAATGACAACTACACAACAAAGACCACAGAATGGCTAATAAACATGTATAAAAAGGGATTCAGTTTCATTAGTTATAGGGAAAATGTAAAATAAAACCACAATGTAATACCACCACCCACACCCAAGTATGGCTAAAATGAAAAAGATGGGGAAATACCAAAGGTTGAGGAGAACATGAAGCAACCACTTTGAGAAATTGCTTGGCAGAATTGCTTATAAAAGTTGAACATCATATCTTTTCACCTAGAAATTCTAATCTTAGTTAAATATGTACATGTCAACAAAAGACATGCTCCAGAACATTTAGGTACTGTATTCATACTATACCCAAACTGGAAATAATACATATGGCTATCAACAGTAAAACAGATGAATAAAATGTGGTATATTTAAGCAATGGAATACCAAACATGTGAATTGAAAGAACTCTCAACTACACACAGGTAGCTAAAACAAATAGTGAACAGAAATAAACTACACAAAAAGAGTGTATGCACTATGATTCCATTTATATAAAGACTGTTAGAAGTTTAGGTCTTTTTTGCGGGAAACAGTATGGCATTTCCTTATAAATAAAATGGGGGGCACTAACTGCCTTTTTGACCCAGCAATCCCACTTCTGTGAATATACCCTAAGAATCCTGAAACACCATTCAAAAAGAATACATGCATTCTTATGTTCATAGCAGTGTTACTTACAATAGCCAAATCTGGAAACAGCTCAAGTGCCCATCAGTAGATGAGTGGTACATTTACGCAATGAAATACTACACTGCTATGAAAAAGGGGACGGGACTCTTACCCTTTGCTATAGCATGAATGGACCTGGAGATTATTATGCTAATCAAAGTGAAATAAATCAGAGAAAGACAAATACCATGTAACCTCCCTTGTATGTTGAATCTGATGAGCGAAATAAAATGATGGACAAAAATAGAACTGGAGGCATGGAGACAAGGAACAGACTGACAGATCTCAGAGGCAAGGGGGTTTGGGGGAGGGGGACTGGCTAATGGAAGGTGAAGGGATTAGCCAAAGTACAAACGTGTGTAGCCCCTGGGCACAGACAATAATGTACTGAAGGCCAGAGGGCTGGGTGGGGGCTGGATATGGGGACATCTGTTATAGGGTCAAGTAAAAAAAAGTTTCCGTTTTAATTTCTCTTGGGCTCAGGGGGTAGAGGACAATGGAAGGGCACAAGAGCAAGGGTTTCTGGGGTGTGAGCAACATTCTGGTTCTTGATCTAAATCCCATTACATGGGTTTATTCGGTTTCAGAGAAAATTCATCCAACTATATCCAAATTAAAAAGTTAAAACTGAAACACAAGAATGACAGGAATGGACGAACATTGTATTTAAAACTAAAGCACAATAAACACCCCCCCCCCCCAACCCTTCAAGCCCTATGCACGCAATGAAGTGAAAGCGTCATTGGCTGGTACAAGGTGACGCACTTCCGGAAGTAGCTCTTAACACCGCCTCTTCCTCCTCGTGGCTGTTCGGCCTTCCCACCTCCCTGTGGTGCAGTCCAGCTCAGTGCCCTGGGCTCCTGAATTAAAGCTGAGAGGTAAACAGCAGCCTGTGTGCTTCTTTCTGAGTCACCACTGTCAGGCTTGAGCTTGCTATCACTGCCATTATGAACATCCGCAGTGCTAGGCCAAGTGACCTGATGAATATGCAACACTGCAACCTCCTGTGCCTTCCCGAGAACTATCAAATGAAATACTATTTCTACCATGGCCTTTCCTGGCCCCAGCTCTCTTTCATTGCTGAGGACGAGGATGGGAACATTGTCGGCTACATCCTGGCGAAAATGGAGGAAGACGGAGCGGATGTGCCCCATGGACACATCACCTCCCTGGCGGTGAAGCGTTCACACCGGCGCCTCGGCCTGGCCCAGAAGCTCGTGGACCAGGCCTCCCGGGCCATGATAGAGAACTTCAGCGCCAAGTACGTGTCCCTGCACGTCAGGAAGAGTAACCGGGCCGCCCTGCGCTTGTATTCTGAAACCCTAAATTTCCGGGTTAGTGAGGTGGAACCCAAATACTACGCAGATGGAGAAGATGCTTATGCTATGAAGCGGGATCTCACACAGATGGCAAATGAGCTGAAACGGCTGCTGGAGTCAAAGAAGAAAGGTGGTGTGGGGCTGGGCTCCAAGGAGAATGAGAAGACCCCAGCACTTCCTGGTTCTGAAGAGTCCGGTGAGAAGAACCCAGCCACTGACCACAGTGGCAGTGACAGCAAGGAACCCAACAAGCCGGAGAGCACCAATGTCCAGGACAGCCCAGAAGACTCAAATTCCACCTCCTAGAACCTGCTTAAGGTACTTTCTCTTCCTGCCCCTATTCCTTCCTATCCTAAATCCTTGCACCATCTACCACATCTTATCCCATCCCATCGTAGCTCAGCTGGTTTCACAGTGAAAACTACCTGGTGACCTTGGGGAGCAGCATAGATTGGGTTGGGGGAAACTACTGAAAGTTAACAGGACTTCAACTGATATCCTGAAAATAGATTGAATTCAGTAAAAGAAGCAAGCGTTTATTCTGCCCTTTTAGTATGAATTGTATTTAAGGTTATGATTTGTATTTCATCAACTAGGTCCTAGTTGATGAAAGAAATTTCTTCTTTATAAAATTATTGCTAATAAATGCAGAAATAGTGATGTAATTATAAAATCGCTATGTTGTAACTTTTGGTGAAATACTATATCTAGCTAATACTAAAGGGTGAAAGGTGGAACACTTTTTAGTAATGGGCCAGAGAAGTACTGATCAAATGTAACATCACTAAAAGGAGGACAAATATCATGTGCCTCCTAATGCAATAGGAAGTACACAGTAACACCTATGAAATGTTTTGGCCAAAAGAAAATTTGAATCCAAAGAAGGCTCTAGATGTAACTTTTTTATTTTTAAATAGAGGGAACTTTTTAACTAGACCATGACATAATCAGTCAAATCCAGAATGAGAAATTTCTCCAGAACAAACAACCTGGTTTTCTTAAACAAGTAAATGTCATTTTTTAAAAAAGGAGGAGATATTTATTGAAACAAACTTTAGAAATATTTTGACCAAATACAACCATGCATGGACATTGTTTGGATCTCAAACAAATTTTGAACTCGGAACTGACTGTATACTATTAAGGAAATTGTTAATAATGCTGTTAGGCTAGCTAATTTGTATTATAGTAAAAATGCCCTTATTCATTAGAGATACATACTAAAATAATTAGAGGTGAAATAATATGGTGCCTAGGATTTACTTAACTCCAGCAAAAAGGGAAAACAAAGGGTTGGCAAGATAGAAAGAATAATTGTTGAAGTTGGATGGTGGGTATTTGGGAGATTCATTATGTTCTTTATTGTTTTGAATGTGTGAACATTAACAAGCCAAAGGACAGAAACAATTATTGTATGTCCTAGTATACATTAATACTAAGAAGCCACCAAAAAAGTAGTTTAAAAGACTAACGTCCATTAAGGAACTTTATATAATAACACCTTAAGAATCTCAAGGGTCAATGAGCTGCTGTCAGTTTAGAAGCTTTAACTTGTAATTCTAGTCACCTTACCTTTACATGCAAAAAAAAGGCAATGACTTTCTTATAAAAGTCTAATCGTGAGTGGCATAATTAAATGCTGTCTGATTACCCATTCGCAAAATTTTTAAAAAAGATTTTTATGTATTTATTTTGAGAGAGAGGGAGAGAAACATCAATGTGTGCTTGCCTCTCACATGCCCTCAACTGGGGACCTGGCCCACAGCCCAGGCATGTGCCCTGACCAGGAATCAAACTGGCAACCCTTTGGTTCACAGGCCCACACTCAACCCACTGAGCCATATCAGCCAGGGGTCATTCACAAAAATTTTTGTGTGTCAGACATTAGGTTTAGAGTTTGGTATATAAGAGTTACCAGAACAAGCTGATATTTACATTGCAGCATTTAAGAAAAAATGTACTATTTTTTTATACAGTTTAATGTTGAAACTCAAATTATATAGCACACTAACCCTGTTTTATTTTCATTCACTTACAGTTCCACAGGCTATAAAGATTTAGATAGAGAAAGTTCTTGGGGTTTAGAGAGAGTGTCCTCAGAGGAATCTTTGCATCTGACTTTTAACCACCTGAAGGTTTCATAATGACTGATTCATTTGGTCTAATGCACAGGTGGCAGACACAAGACTCACAGGCTGGATCCAGCCTTCCACCTTGTTTTATCTGGCCCAGCACCTTGTTTCTACCTAGCAGCAGCGCTGAGCTCTTGCTTAACTGTTAAGGAGTTTATACGGTCCTAAAATTCATACAGTCCTAAAATTTATATTCAGCCCTTTGAAGGCAACTGTGAGGCTGATGTGACCCCTGATGGAAATGAGTTCGACACCCCTGATCTAAAGTTAAATGCAGCAAAATAGTCTAGAGGGGAAGGTAAAAATTAAAGAAAACTTATGTCTCAGGAGGAGTGTTTTCAGATTTACACCTGTCCTGAAAATCTGGAGGGCTTTGTCAAGACAATTTTGTCTAGCCCTGGCTGGTATGGCTCAGTGGATTGAGCACCAGCCTGCGAACTGAAACTCTGTGGGTTCGATTTCCTGTCAGGGCACATGCCTAGGTTGCCATTCAGGTTTCCAGTTGGGGGCAAGCAAAAGACAACCAATTGATGTTTCTCTCCCTCACTTTCTCCCTCCCTTCTCTTCTCTCTGAAAATGAATAAATACAAATTTTTAAAAAAGATTTTAAAAAAGACAATTTTGTTTAAATCAACAAACCTTTCTAAAAATTAACTTTACAATTTTTATATAGAACATTTATTTAATACTGATCTCATCTTTGTGGTCATTGGCTTCTTTAGTGTTAAACTCTAGCCAAGAAGGATTTTATGTAGAACAGTGCAATTGGAGATTGCATACTTTCTTTACATAAAAAATATATAAAATATGATTTATAGATATTATTGGATGAATTCGAGAGCACTTAATATTGGTTCTCAGGGACAAAACTGCCACCCTAGTAAGGGAAGAGAGCAATAATAAGAAAATAAATGTGGCAGTTATAAATCTCAGTGTGCAATGCACAAACTCAGGAATAATTAAAATGATTTTTTACATTACTGTAATTGAACTTTCTATCTAAGTTGAAAGAGATGTTCCCTGTACTGGGCATCCCTCTCCCTGGTTGACTTCTGCGGGGACATCTTTACTGGCCTCATCTGATGTTTGGTCCTCACTGTTCACTTCTGGGTCCTTTCCGGCCAGAGGCCTCTTCAGGCCTGAGGTGCTCCCCACCATGTTTGGGCCATTCTGGTAGCAAGAGTATTAGTCTGCATAGACTAACTCTTCTAAAAAATTAACTCCTAGATCTCACTAACTTAATTCAATAAAAGCTTATTTTCTCATACCACACACCATAAGTCAGCAGTGTGGTGGGGATGTGGAGTGAAGAAGGAAAGAGGGACCCTTCATGAACTCATTTAGGAATCCATCTGGAACAGATGTTCTTAACTTGTTTTGCTCCGTAACGCCTTTTGGCAAACTGGTGATGCCTCAAGATGCCCTTTCCGAAAGCTTATTTTAAAGGTCATAAAAATCATGTGGGATTACAAAGGAAACCAATTTTATGGAACTACAATGACAAACTATTTTAAAATAAATTTGTTATATATGTACTTTTTATTAGCATATGAAATAAATCTAGAAGTGGGCCTAGTAATTACTGTTATTTCCAAGAAAATTTGAGTATAAATGATATTTTGAGATACCTCAAACAGTAATATGATGTGAAAGTACCTGTGATTTTTATTGGTGACAAATTCAATAAGTATTACTAATACTATGCATGTGTGCATACATTATCATTGGAGGGAATGCTAAATTTCAATTAGAGGTTGGTAAAACTGCAGACATTGTTGTTGTTGTTGTTGTTGTTGTTGTTTCAAATCCAAGGTCATGCTTCTCCTCAATTCTGTTAATGGATCCCAGGTTAGGAATTCCTGATTCAATGATTCTAACATTTTCTAGAATCATGCATCCTTTACTGGCTCATATACTTTCAGCTTGCACATAAGAGAAGAGCATGCACATAGAGAGGTTCATACAGGCTTTAAAACGTCAGTCCCGTTTCCCCAACTAACTGCAGGGGATGCTAGGAAATGCAGTTTAGCTGTGGTCTGGTGGCCACACAGCATAGTTTCTGCCACAACAGAAAACATGCTCGTGGTACTCTGGATTAAGAAGATCCTGCTTCCATGCCCAGCTAGGAGCACAGGGTCATTCTGGTGCCTTCTCCCCATGACATGGCACAGAAATCCCTGTCAGGCTATTTGGGCTGTCTGCTTAGTCACATGACACATGCCTTCTTTTCTTGCACCAGCTTGGGTGTAGGAAACTGGGATTCTGCCATCTTGCTGCCTTTATGCCTCTCATTACAGTCTGGAAGAAATAAATCCAAGTGTACAAATCTCCCTACTCTGAAAACCCCCAAAACTTCTAACACTTCATTTACTGTCTGTCACCTTCATCCTATTTAATAGGGATTCACTGGTACATACAGTAATTGCCTGAATGGGAAAAGGCTACTCTGAAGAAAGGAAGAAAACAGTACAAATAAAAAAGTTTAATACAACAAAAGTATAATCCTGCCACAATTATGGTGCGCCCTGCTTTGGAGCTAGATTTTTGACACCTACAGGAAAAAGAATGTCCTAAAAGAAACAAGTTTTTTTTCTTTTCCTCTTCTTTTGGGTCTGGGGCAACAGACACAGTTGACCTTAAAAGTGATGGTGAGCTGGGCAGTTGGTGAAGGCAATTAATTGGGGTGCCTCCATCCACAACATGGCAATAAAATTTACTACTAACACTGTGTGAACTCACTGTGTTACAGGTACCATTTGAGGTGTCCTGAACTGTGTCATTTAATCCTCAGGATATCCCTCTGAAGCAGGTACTCCTAGTCCATTGTACAGATGAGGGCTAAATGTCACATGGAACGTGAATGAAAAGCAGGGACGCAAACTCAGATAGTCTAAGTGAGACTCCACAACAGTGAGGATTAAATGAGGTAGTCCTTATAAATTGTTCAGCACAATCTCTCACACACAGTTAAATATCCTGAAATTTTAGCTCTTAAATTTGTAGTAATAGTAACCATTCAGGTTCTTTTCTTCTCCACAGCAGTCAAATGATAGTGTTGTGGATGAGCAGCAACAGTTTGCAATCTTGGAAGGGAGATGCATCTTAATGATTAAAATAGCTTTCAGTGACAAGCTGAAATGTCAGAGCATTCGGCTGAATCAACTCCTCAACGAA